ACACACACACACGCACAGCTTCCGCGACGACGCGCTGCCGCTGCCGCTGCCGCTCGCAGAGCCGAGTGACGCCAACCGCCTGCTGGCAACCAAGCCGCTGCACTGCAGGTACACACACACGCACACACACACACACACATACACGCACAGCTTCCGCGACGACGCGCTGCCGCTGCCGCTGCCGCTCGCAGAGCCGCGTGACGCCAACCGCCTGCTGGCAACCAAGCCGCTGCACTGCAGGTACACACACACACACACACACACACACACACACACACACACACACACGCACAGCTTCCGCGACGACGCGCCGCCGCTGCCGCTGCCGCTCGAAGAGCCGCGCGACGCCAATCGCCTGCTGGCAACCAAGCCGCTGCACTGCAGGTACTCTCTCACACAGTTGACTGACTATCATAATTTTGATTTACATATGATATAAAAGCTTTTAGAAAAATTTACTTCGCAAATATCCGCGTTATAAAATAAAATGATGTGTCTTACCTAGTATGAAGAGCACCTCCCGCCCTCCCTCAATTCCGTGCACTATCCCCGTCACCACTAATCCCAGCACCGCTACTCCCAACACCACTACACTAGGCAAGACACACCACTGACGATAATACGACACGTGTTTCGCCTCTACACGAGGCATCCTCAGGTGATTTAGACTTTTTCGATAAAATTAAGGGAACAATCTTGTTCCAATTCAAGTTTAAATTTAATTTTGTCATGGACTCTAGCCAACTCACACCGACACGGTCATCCCCGCGTCATCATGTCATCCGTGGCAACATAAAGTAGCCGCTTTTTATTGTTACATTAACCGTTTGTTCACTGTCCCATTAAGTAAAGAAAATTATTTAAAAGAACTTAATATAATTTATCAAATAGCGGTCTCTTAACGGTTTTTCAAAAAATCTTATTAACAATTTAATTAAAAAGACACAAAAGCATGTTGTTCGCAACTCTCTGTACGCGGTTCAACCTCAAAGTGTTCATCGATATGTGAGCAGTTTGACCTACTTAGGCCCCATATCTGAAAAAGTAGCTAATACTCTTCGACAAAACGGCGTTCATGTAGCGTTCAAAACAAACAATTCTCTTAGAAATATCTGTAATAAAGTTGGATATTCGTCAAAAGTCAGGTGCTTATAAACTTGTTTGTGACGAATGCCACGCCGTTTACGTGGGTCAGACTGGTCGCAATTTCGAGACACGTTATAAAGAGCATTTAGCGGCGTACAGGAATTGCAATCCCGATAAATCCCATTTTGCCAAACATCTTTTGGACACTGGACACAACCTAGCCAACGACCACTCCTTTAAAGTCTAACATACGTGTAATAAAGGGCTGCGGTTGTGTGTGCTGGAACAGTTAGAGATATTAAAAAGTAATAATAATACCGTTGCATTGCTGAATGAACAAACAAATGTTACTAACTCACCTCTCTTAAATATCTTTAAGCCTGCTCTCTAATAATAGAGAGCTTCGCAATATGGTCGTTTGTCACCCTCACGGTGATCGGCGATTGGTTGCGTGGTTGGAAGGTGGGCGTTGCGCGGCGGTTTGTTTTTAATTTTACAAACGGCTGCGTAAGTCCGGCGGTGATTGGTCGCATGTTATATCGCATGACGCAGTCGCTCGCTCCATAAGTAGAGAGCGGTTGCGTCATCGGTCTGTATAAAAGGCACTTGTTTTGGCTCACCGCTCACTTAGCGGTTAGCCACCGTAGAGTTTATATCACCTGTCTTGCTTAGTGTAGTGGTGTTGGGAGTAGCGGTGCTGGTATTAGTGGTGACGGGGATAGTGCACGCAATTGAGGGAGGGCGGGAGGTGCTCTTCATACTAGGTAAGACACATCATTTTATTTTATAACGCGGATATTTGCGAAGTAAATTTTTCTAAAAGCTTTTATATAATGGATTTCCGCAAAGTAACGCCTGATTCTATTAATTATATTACATATGATAACAAAAGTTCATAAAGTTTCAGCCTTAAGAAATTGATTTTATTATGTCGGTGGTCACGACATGTTTGACCGCGCACCTGAGACACCTGTTCTAATATCCGCTTGACTGACCGTAGCATTTTATAGTAAACTAGTAGGGTTTAAAGTTTGTTGCGCGGAACCCTAATTCGTTTTCAAAAATATGAGTAGCCTAAGTTAGTCCTTATAACATGAGCTATCTACCAGTAAAAGTCCCGTCAAAATCGGTCCAGCCGTTTCGGAGATTAGCCGGAACAAACAGACAGACAGACAGACAGACAAAAATTTTAAAAATTGTGTTTCTGTTATAGGTACCGTATATACTTTTATATGCAATTAGTAAAAAGCTGTAATTTTGACACTACAAACAGACACTTCAATTTTATTTATTTGTATATGTTATGATTATAATCACCTGAAAAAAAAACCAGGCTTAATAAATTCAGATACCTACTTTTTTTGGCTCTGCCTCTCCGTTTACTACTGTAGTACCCTGATGACACTTGTTGCAGGCTCATCATGTTCCTGTCTTCAAAGTGATACGACGTACAACCGCACATCGTCAGCAGCCGGCTCGAATCCTCCTGTTATTTTGCATCTATATTAACCAAAGATTAACTTTTTTACGTATTTACACTCAAAAGTCTTTCCCATCATACATTATTGTACTTGCTCAAAATTTCTTATTTCAAGTGAATAAATCGTTAATAATGTTAACAAAACTTGTTAAAGAAAATACAAAGAAATCTCATACTTAAAAAAAAAATTGCAATCCACCACTGTAGCTTTATATATATCTTTTTTGATTCTTCAATTATAACAAATAATTTCGGTTAATACCTACTTGTAAATAGTTTAATATTCAAATTGTAATGATGTGATAAATATGTATAATAAAATCAAAAAATAATTTCGCAATCAAAGACGTGATAAGTCTATCTATTTGTTCAAACGACGGTGACTTACATACGCACAAATGTAGTAGTGCAATATATTCTCTATTATTTAAATATTTTTCGTATTTCTCGTGTTGGTTTTTTGGTTTTAATTTCGTTGATTCGTATGATTTCCCACTCATTAGCATCTGCAACAATAGATGAGTTAGATGCAGACCCTCTCCTTGTCTTTTAGTTTATTAAGCTTTTGCAAGGTGAAATCGCCAAAAAGTATAATATAATTTATAATGTCATAAAAATAGAACAATTATGATGGTTGGTAGAGCACTAAATGAGAGGACTTTTGGGAAACAAGCAAGCGGCTCACCTGATGGAAAAATAAATACAAATATGAAATTAGAATATACGTACTTAAGTATAACATTATGCTTTGTATTTTTAAATCTTTGTTCATATGTGAGTGACCGGCGCATCGTTTGAATAAATCGAATATTTCGCCTGTGATTGAAAATTTGTAGAAATAAAAATAGTAAGTTGTAATTTCAACCATGAATTGATTTTATGATTCGATATTATATACTTTTCAAAAATTTTAATTTATCTAGGATAATTTGTTTTAATTTATGAATAAAACTCGTGTGAAGAAACATTAAAGGTGTACCCGCTACTAATTATAACAGATAGTTTTAAAGTAAGGTTTATCTGACCTATACGACTAATGCGTGAGTAGCCAACGAAACAAGTACTTTTATTTTTAATAATGACCTCCAGTCCAGAGGAGTCAAAGTTACCATTTACTAATCACAATCTTGTATTTCGGCAACTTACGTGATTTTGATAAAAGGATGTAGATTATAGTAGGTAGTTAAAAATTTGTTTAGGTGCTTTCATCACACATTTATAGTTAGATTAAAATTTATTAACTTTTATATTTCTTTTGTTGTATTTTATTATTAATCTGTTTGTTAATATTGTATTCTGAATATTTGTTAGTTATTTTTTTATAATATAGCTTAATGATTATAATTGATGACATTAGGGTAATAAATAAATTTAAAACGAACGAAATGACTCCTTTTATTTATTATCTAATTCTAATTCACATAAATTCATACATTAAAAGACTGGTACACGGAATAATACACTGAGAATATTAACATGAAATTTGTAGACAAAATTATGACAAATTTTAAACAAAAATTATAATGTGTGTAAGGACTAAGGAATCATGCTAGGAATTCAGAATTCATGTTATTAATTCCGGACAGACATACAATTTTTTTTAAATAGTTATTTATGTCTCTATAGCATACAAATAACCCCTGGAGCTTAAGCCATTCTATTAATAGAAGTAAGTTATTTCAATATTACAGACAGACAATTCAATTTTATTTATATGTATAAATATATCACCCCCTTATTCTAAAAACGTTTTATTCCCAATGCCAACTCACTTCGGACCGTATATACCACGCATGAGATATATAGATTGACAAATTTTGAGGCGATTTTTCTGTTGCATGTAGGTTCCTATTAAGTGTAGACATTAATCTGCCCACCGATATTACGTATGTGTATGTTTACAAAAGATTGTTTCGCCTTTTTGCCGTTCCCTTGGCAATAGCTTGCTGTTTCTTTGCATTGGCATATTTTGGATGAACGGCGAGTCATGCCATAAATCACATTTATTAATTTACATCAATAGTATTCTGCTGCCATCGTATTATTGCAATAGCCAGTTGCGTGTTGCATCACATTGCAGGAGAATATTCCCTAAGATAAGGTTCAATGTCTTCTGTAAGTTAATAAAATGTGTAGGCATAAAAATAGACAATGTTTATACTATAAACGCAATCAAAACGCAATCTTATGTTTATGCGCAGAAAACCCTTTCTCCTTTAGAAATATTGTTAATCGGACGGGTACTTTCCCATTAACAGAGCAGAATATTTGAATTGCCCGGATTGGCCTGGAATGCTCTAAATCTTCCTTAAAGAGTATAAAAGCGTGCGCCGGCGATGGGAGGAATTATTTTGAAAACACTAAATCTACGTACGACATTTGCGATTATTATAGGCCTCACTGAAGAAGCTAAGCAATATTGGACAACGTGATTGTATACTTATTACACACAATAGTAGTAACATTATACACTTTTGCATACATCTAAACTAGTTGGAAAAAACTTCTGTTACCTAAATTGTAGTCCCTCAGAATTTTTTTTTAAGAAATAGACATATTAACTTTGGCATCGCAATATATTTATGAGAATGTAATGTATGTGCATAAAACATAAATAGCTTTAATAAGAATAAGGATGTGCATACTTTAAACATTAGGAACAAACATAAGCTTGTAATGCCAGTTACTAGACTCCACAGAATCAGTAATTCATTTATGGGGCAATGTATACGCTTTTACAACGAAATCCCAGAACATATTCAAAGTTTGTCAATAACCAAGTATGAAAGTTTTATTAGAGAAAAACTGTACAAAAAGGGTTATTATAATATCAAGGAATACATGAATGAAAATAACCTCTGGGAATAAGGTGATCGTCACCATGCTGGTTCTATGAAAAATCATTTAAAAATTGTATAAACAAAGTTATTGTTAAGTGAAATATGTTTGAAAAAAAAAGGGTTTCTTGCTGGTTCTTCCCAGGACTGGGGTGTTTTCCGAACCAGTGGTAAATAAAAAATGACTTTTAATAAGTATTATGTAATAATCAATATTGAATAAAAATTATTCGGTTATCTCTCCTCTCACAATATGTTGGTGGTGTTTTGTTGGTCAAATAAAACAAGAATCATCGAAATCGGTTCACCCAGTAAGAAGTTATGAGGTAACATAAAAAAAACATACAGTCTTATTGAGCACCGGCTGCTTTTTGAAGTCTGTAGAAAAATGTAGCTGATTAAGAATATAATTCACTAACATGCCTTTCATATTATCATAAAATATTATATGATTATCGCTAAAAAAAGAACTCGAACGTCAAAGTTCTCTGGCGAATTTTTTTTATCTCATTTAACATAACGTGTTCTAAAAGAATTTCATTGATTAATTTACGAATGCGCACATTTTTTTCCGAGCTTAAACTATTTCAATATATCAATTCCCGCGTGTCAAAATCGTGTCTAAAGTACGATATTTTGTCCAACCTGGTCTTAAGGCGCTGGTTTAGAGGTAATAATAATAATAAATATAACTTTATTGTACACCATAACAATTTACAGAAAAATGAAAAACTGTATATTAAACCTGTTGTATAATGCGGCGATCTTATCAAGTAAAGACGGAAGTGTACGTTAAAAATAAATGAATTTAGGAGGTAATGTTAAATTAAACAACAAAATGTTTCTAATAGGGTTTATGTCTATTGGCATGCAGATTTCTGAGCGAGTTGGTCAGCTTGCTGGTGCAGTAATCGTTCTCCGAGGCGCCTTGACCGCTCCAAACACTCAGGAGCCCTGACTCACCGGTCGTCACCAGAATGTCTTTCTGTTGAGATAAAATTAAAAATCGTTAATACAATAGTCACCACAATGCCTTTCTGTAGAGATCAAAGACCAAAAGCCATATTGGACTACGAAAAAACAAAATGTTACCGACATAAGACTGTCACTAAAATGTTGAATATTGGCAATTGTTTAATGGATATTATTCATTTATTTTTAAAAGCTACTGAGTGCTCCATGCCGGATGTGCGGTTCTCACAGCGCTCGGTTCGCAAAGCACTCCTCTAACTGGACATCCACAAGTCGAGTGGGCCTGACGGAATCCCCCCAATTGTGCTGAGGACGTGTGCTCCGGAGTTGGCACCGGTTCTAACGCGTCTTTTACGGTATTCCTACTCCTTAGACGTAGTTCCGAAATCATGGAAGACAGCTTTTGTCCACTCGATCCCTAAAAAAGGCGACCGCTCACACCCGTCCAACTACAGGCCTATCGCCATCACCTCCTTGTTCTCCAAAACAATGGAATCCATTATAAACTGCCAGCTCATGCGGTATCTTGAGGATCACCAGCTGATTAGTGACTGCCAATACGGTTTTCGTCGGGGTCGATCCGCTGGTGATCTAGGTCTACCTGACTCATAGATGGGCGGAGGCAGTAGAGTCCAAGGGAGGCGTTGGCCGTTAGTTTGGACATTGCGAAGGCCTTCGATCGGGTTTGGCACAAAGCGCTACTTTCGAAGCTCGCTTCCTATGGGCTTCCTAAGAAATTGTGCAATTGGATCACCAGCTTCCTTGCAGATCGGAGCATCAAGGTCGTTGTAGACGGTGCATGCTCCGACTACAAGCCTATTAACGCTGGTGTTCCACAAGGCTGCGTGCTATCACCAACGCTGTTTCATTTGCATATCAATGATATGTTGCAAACTGGTAACATTCATTGTTATGCGGCTGACAGCACTGGTGATGCTCTATACACCGGCCGTGCCAATGTTTCTCGGGAAAACGTCGCCGAGTACCGGAATAAACTTGTGTCTGAAGTCGAGTCTTTGCTGAACGAAGTCTCGGATTGGGGGCGACGAAATCTAGTCCAGTTTAATCTTCTGAAGACACAAGTTTGCGCGTTTACAGCTAAAAGAACCTCTTTGTCGTATCTCCTCAGTTTCAAGGCACTCCCCTTGTTGCCTCGGCCAGTATCGGTATCCTCGGTGTCGACATATCAAGTGACGTGCAGTTTCGTGGTCACTTGGAAGAGAAGGCCAAATTGGCCTCTAAAAAGCTTGGCGTGCTCAGCAGAGCGGGACAGTATTTCATGCCGGGACCCCGCCTTCAACTTTATAAGACGCAGGTTCGACCTCACATGGAATACTGTACCCATATCTATCTTGCTGACCCAGCAATTGGGGTAGCAGTGCTGAGCCACCTCAGCAACGAATTTTGTGTGGTGTGCCATGTTGACCGATGGGACCTCTATGTGGTGTCAGCGTATTTTAAATTTAGCGACACCATCTATGACCACCTGCACCACTTAGAGGTCGCCCTGAGTTGCCTTAAGGTCAGAAGGGTGATCGTGGGCCTCGACGCCAACGCGTACTCGCCACTCTGGTATTGTGATCGCCGACACTACGTGGGAAGAGGACAAAATATAGAATATCGAAGGCAGCAAATGGAGGCATTTATTATCACACATGCTCTAATGTTGGCAAATATGCCTGACCAGCCCTACACCTTCTCTGGGCCTAGAGGTGAGTCCAACGTGGACCTGACCCTCTCCACTGGGGACGTCTACATTGCCGAGTGGCGGGTGCACGAGGGGGTCTGCGCCAGCGACCATAACTTAATAACTTACACGGCTACTACTAGCAGGCCGACGACGCGCGCAGCACCCGTTAGGGATCCCCCCCGTTTTCGTGACCGAGGGGTGGATTGGGAAAGGTTCCGGGCGATTGTCAAATTACGAATGGGATGGCTGCACGTGGAAAAACCTGCGGCTCTCCTGGCGGAGGAGTTCTCAGGGGGTTTTTTTTTAACTATAGCTTACTACTACTTTTCTGCAGTACCCTTCTTTCTAGCATTTAACTACTGTTTTAATGATACTGTTTTTTTTTATTTATTTTTTATTTTTTTTATTTTATTGTTCCGTACTGCTTACAGTTTGGTTTATCATTGGTACACTTATATTTCTAAATTTTTAGCTACATATTACTCAATACTTCTTATCTTATACATTACTTCACTCAGTACACTTACTGTTGTATAATATTCTTACTGAAATTTCTGACATACGTTACAATTACATTAATATATTCTGTATGTTTTTTTTTTCATTATACACATTACTTTTATTAACTATGTTAATAATCTTAAAGCTTTACATTACTTAGGATTTCTTACTATTATGTTATTTCTGTTTTTACATCTAATTTTTGTGTATCCTTACTTAAGTAGATTATTCTAGAATATCCTTAAGTATATATATTTTTTTTATTTTATTTTTATATTTTCTATATCTAATTTTTTTTTCTTTATCTTTTTTTTTCTTTTTTTTTTATTCTTTTTTTTATTATTTTTTTTTCTTTCTTTATCGCTTTTTTACAATATACTCTTTATACATATTATATTTACTAACTAAATTAATAATGTTTTAAAACTTTTCATTACTTAAGATTTCTTACTCTAGCATTTCTACTTTCTTAACACTTGTTATTTGTAGTTACAGATTTTTGATTAAAGTACGTGTATTTAACAAGTACTAAGTAAATAGTTTTTTTTTCTTTTTTGGAATTCATTACATGTACCGTACTCTAACATTTGCTTACTCTACCATTATACTTCCATTTTCCTTACTTATAATTCTTAATGCTTGAAGAGCAAATGTCATAAAGATAGGTCGGCAAGTGCTATCCTCGATTATAATGTTTAGATTGTCTTTTGCAATGGTCATTCCCATGCTGCATTCAGCTTCAACTCTTCCTTTACTGAATCGCGGGCAGTCAATTATAATGTGCTCTACAGTTTGGTTTACGTTTTCATCGCAAGTGCAGCACGGGGATGATGCCAATTTATATTTATACAGGTAAGCATTGTTACCGCCATGCCCAGTAAACAGGTGTGTGACTAAATTATTCATTTTTATATTTTTTATTACTTTATAAGCTACTAAAACATTGGGAAAGAAAGTCTTGGTTATGGTGCTGGTTGTCGATTCTTCATATTTTCTTTGCCAAATTTGTAGGGTTGCGTTTCTAGTGAGGCGCTTTGCATACGACAGTGGGAATTTATCATATTCCGGTTTTTGCTTGCTTCTAGTAGCAGCTCGTTTGGCTAGTTCGTCTGCTCTTTCGTTGCCCTGAATTCCACAGTGGGCCTTAATCCAGTACAGTAAGATTTTCTTTTGGTTGTCTTCAATGTCTTTTATCATGTTACGAATTTTAAAAGCAATTGGGTTCAATGAGCTTGGATCACATATGCTTATAACAGCTGATCTTGAATCAGTAAAGATATTTGCTCCTTGATAATCTCTGTCAGCAACGTACTTTACAGCTTTTAAAATTGCAATCATCTCTGCTTGGAAGACACTACAATAGCTTTCTAGTTTGAAGGTTATTGTCTTAATTTCCACTCCATTTTTCCAGATCGTTACTGCTGCGCCTACCTTTGTGTCGATTTTACTTCCATCAGTGAAGTTCTCAGGGGTTGTAATCCGCTCAGCGGAGGAAGGCCTAGGGGAGAGTCGCCCCAGGGGGTCGGGGGGGGGGGGGGGTATGAATGGTGGACATTTGAACTGGACAAAACTCGGAATTTGCACTGCAAACTTAGGCGTGCTTGGCAGAGTAAAAGGCGTCTGGGAGGTAGGTCTGAGAAGTTAGCCAGGATGGCTTTCCATAGTGTGCGTGCGAGATATAGGAAGATGATGGTGGAGGCGCAGCAGTCGCAGCACAGGAAGATTGCCAACTCTGGCAATGAGGACCCATGGGGCCTTGCATACAGGCTGGCCAGCGGGAGGTTACGTCCGCCTGCAAATATGATGAATGGGATCGCCTTTGCGGGTGGACACCCGGACGGTCTGGAAGCAGCGATGCATAAATTAATGTCTGCGCTCTGTCCGGATGACAGCACTGACTGCGACTCGCCTTACCACCGGCAGGTTCGTCTGCTGGCAGCTTTCATGCCGTCGGGTGGAGCCGCGCCTCCACTTAAGGTTGGGGACCTGGGTGGTATAGTCAAGGCCTTACCCAACACGGCTCCGGGACTCGATGGAGTGAGTGCGAGAATCGTGAGGAATGTGTGGATTGCGGCACCGAGGGAATTTCACTCGGTGTATGCCAAGTGTGTGGAAGAGGGGGTTTTCCCCAATGTATGACAAGCCGCCCAAGGGTAATGACAAGCCGCTCACCGACGCCAAGGCATACCGTCCAATAACGCTCCTCCCTGTTTTGGGAAAATTATTGGAACGAGTAATTTTAAGTTGTGCTCCCGCGATTAGTCGCGGGATATTCGAGTACCAGCACGGATTTTCTGCGAGCCGGTCTACAGAAACAGCGCTGCGTGTACTGCTCAGCACGGCAAGGTATTCTCAGGCATGCTACGTGCAAGCAATATTCTTAGATATCTCCAGTGCCTTCGACAATGCCTGGTGGCCGATGATGATGGTCAAGGCCAAAAGGGGTGGATGTCCACGCAACATTTATAGAATGTTGGTGGACTACTTCATCTCCAGGCGTGTGGGCCTCTACATCGGGGACCGGGTAGAGTGAAAGACGTCGACCATGGGATGTCCTCAAGGCTCCGTGCTGGGCCCAACACTGTGGAATATGCTGATGGATGACCTGCTCCGACTCCCTCTGCCCGAGGGAGTAGCCATGACTGCCTATGCCGATGATGTTACAATCTTGATTGAATCGGGAACGAGAGCGGGTATCGAATCCAGGGCCAGAGTCACTCTGGACCTTGTACGGGAGTGGGGGCTAAGGAATCGACTGGAGTTTTCCTCCTCAAAGTCGACCACCATGACTGTTAGAGGGAAACTTCAGCCCCCCCCCCCCCCCGTTATTAAACTTGGTGGGGAATCTATTAAGACTGTGACTAACGTTAAGGTATTAGGCGTGGTTTTAGACTCGGGACTGTCGTTTGTGCAACATGCATCCGATATCTCTGAAAGAGCGACCAAGGGATTCGGCAAGATGTCTCGCGTATCTACATCATCATGGGGTGTACGATATCCGAGTTTAAAATTAATTCATAGAGGAGTATTTGTGTCCACGCTTACGTATGCGGCAGAGTGCTGGTATGAGCGTGCGTTTGCACACAGTTTGTACACAGTTTGTAGCGTACTACTAAGATCGCAGCGATCCGCTCTTGTATTGTTGACCAAAGCGTACCAATCCACTAGCACGGCGGCCTTACCGGTGCTGGCTGGCGTTCTCCCTGCTGACCTAGAGGTTATCCGTGCTGGTAGGATGGGTATAGCACGCTTGACCGCGCCCAAAGAGGAGTTGAGTAGACGGAATCGCGATATCTGGACTGAGGTGATCAGCGCCTGGCAGGATAGATGGACGTGTGATACAAAAGTACGTGAGCTGCATCGATTTTTCCCGGACGTGGCGTTGAGACTCAGGTATACCTGGGTCTCACCGGACTACCAAACCTCTCAGATTCTCACCGGACATGGATGCTTTCGGAAGAGACTGAGCGACATGAAACTGTGTGAAATAAGTATGTGTGAGTGCGGTATGTCAGAGGAGGATGTTCACCATGTTTTATGGGAATGTCCTCTATATGATGACCTAAGAGTGAAAATGATGGATGGACTAGTTCGTCCGGTTCAGGGACCAGTTTACTACTCGGATCTCGTCAGCGATGTGGTGAACTACGGACTGTTGCGCGAGTTTGCGCATAGGTGGCACGATCGCAGGACAAGGCAGATGGAAGGCTGGTAGGAGAGCCCGACGACGTAGACGTCAATGTGTCGTCAACCCCAGAAGGGGGAGAATGACATTAAACTGGGACCAGGAGTAGATTAAATATTTGTAGGGAGTTAAGAAAGTGTGCGCGGGAAAGAGCCACGTGCAAGTACCGCGCGCATCTCCCGAGATTCAGCTCGTATGACCTGAGGGTCGGTGGGGCCATGGGAAGTGGTGGGTTGTACCCATATCTGGGCCGGGGCTCCCCAGTGCTAGCTCCTTCCACTGGACCGCATCCAGCGTAAAGCGGTTCGAATCGTCGACGACCGAGTCCTTTCCGATCGGCTCGATTCATTGACGCTGCGAAGAGGTGTTGTATCCCTTTTCATTTTCTTTCGCATTTACCACGGGGAGTGCTCTGAGGCATTGTTTGGATTAATTCCAGCCGCCAAATTTCACGAACGTACATCGCGGCAGAACTCCCGATACCATCCACACCATCTAGATGATTGGCGGTCCACCACTGTGCGATTTAGTAGATGTTTTCTTCCTCGCACAACTTCCTTGTGGAATCGATTACCATCAGCGAATTTTCCGGACCGATACGACTTAGGGACCTTCAAGAAAAGAGCCTACTCCTTTTTAAAAGGCCGGCAACGCATCTGCAATTCCCCTGGTTCCCCTGGTGTTGCAGTTGTTCATGGGCGGCGGTAGTCACTTACTATCAGGTGAGCCGCATGCTCGTTTCCCTTCTTCTATAAAAAAAAATTTAAAAAAATCTGGGGAAATAGCAATAATCGTCACTAAAAAACATATCTTTGCTTATCAGAACGCAATATTAAATATCTTATTATTGAAGGCATCCGTCACCTTATACAAGAGAAGCCTATAGGTAGTCAAGAGTAATATAATCTAATAATAAATTAAAATTAAATATTTTATACAACCGACTTCGATATAAATTCAACAAAAGAACAACTCAAAAACTATTGGTCAGACCTTGATCAAAATAAAAAAAGAATCATCGAAATCAGTTCACCCAGTAAAAAGTTATGAGGTGACACATAAAAAAAAAACAGACAGTCGAAATGAGTACCGTCTCCTTTTTGAAGTTGGTAGAAAAGTACTCTGATATATCACTATGTTTTTAGCATATTTTTTTTAAAGCCTAAATATTATTGTCTCTGAATCGAAATTAAATTTCAACAAACAATGGCAACCGTATAAACTTATGCTAATTGAACTAAGAAGACGTCTTTCATCGTTGCTGGCTCAACGCAAACTGAACGCATCGCGAGAGTGTTTACACTCGTTACCTCGCAACAACACACGAGCTGCGAGGCGAGATACGAGGCGAGGCGCGAGACGAGAGTCTAAACTCGCTATAAGAATGTTATGACCGTTCATTAGGTGCTATGCTGAGATCACCTCTAGCTAGCACTAATTCCGGGTGATAGTGTAAACCATACATGTACACTGTAATTAACATTTAAGAAGTTTTTTTTATGTTCATAAGTGGAACATGTTATGATGGTCACTCTCGACGCAAAGCTTCAGTGGGGCCCCATATGTCCAAACTAGCAAGCAGACTAAGTTCTGCAGCCTATGCTGTGAAAAAGATTAGAGGTCTTAGTAATGTCGAGACAGTTAGATTAGTTTATTTCAGTTATTTCCATAGCATAATGTCTTATGGGATTTTGCTATGGGAAAACGCGGCTGATTCCGAAACTATTTTTGTTTTACAGAAGAGGGCCATTATAGCTATTTACAACCTAAAACCGAGAGTCTCTTAGAGATAAATTTTAAGAAATATATATATTAACTTTGGCCTCTCAGTATATTTACGAAAATTTAATGTATGTACATTCTGTAAACACTAGGAACAAACACAAGCTAGTGATACCAGTTTCTCGACTCCACAGAGTCAGTAATTCATTTTTGGGGTAATATATACACTATTACAACAAGGTCCCGGAAAGTGTACAGGCTCTCTCTATTACCAAGTTTAAATGTTTTGTTAAGTTAAAACTGTATAAAAAGGGTTATTATAGTATAAATGAATACATAGTTGATAATAACCCATGGGAATGAGGTGGCCGCTTCCAAGCTGTTTCTAAAATAAATTTTGTACTTATATAGTTTGTACAAGCATTAAAGTAAAATATGCTTTAAAAAAAAAGTCCCACTGGGTGTCTTGCTGGTTCTTCCCAGGACAGAGGTTTTTCGAACCAGTGGTAAAGTAAAAAATGACTTTCAATAATAATTACACATGTGATCTATACTGAATAAAAAATATTCTATTCTATTCTAAGACAGCTAAACCTGAGTAAGCGACGCAAATATGAGTCTGAGAGATGACTACATATTTGTGCCATTTGCTGTAGAGACTATCGGTCCGTGGGATCCACGTTCGGTGAAGTTCCTAAAGGAACTGTACCCGCGCCTGGTCGTTGCTGCTGGTGATAAGACGGCTGGTTCGTTTCCAGCTCAAAGGCTAAATATAGACACATATATATACACAGCCAGCATTCTTGGCACGATACCACTGGGAGTAGGACTGTATGATAATGAAGTTATTACTTTTAGTTTTTTATTATGGTTTTTTAATATTGATAAAATATTGTATATTTCTAGAATAAAACTCTCTTAAATGAAATAAACTTTAAAGTTGACAAAGTGCGCACATAAATAAGGACAGCGTTTTCTTAGTCACACATTAAAGAAAATCAGTGTTAAATTTTCGAATAGCGCTCCCGGTTCACAAAACAAAGAACTAGTCTTCTCGACCGCGCACAATCGACTAAAGGAGTTGTGGAGAATTGACCGTAACTTAGTGAGCAATGTATTAAGGCCGCAGAGCTCATCTTGTAGTATACATAGAAGCCTTTGATTTAACCAAATAACCAGTGTCAGGCTCCCGAGTGAAGTCGGGAGCGAAATTGTTTATTTACGAGTCTAATTGTACTGTTGTGAATGTCATGGGCATAGCTAAGTGGGGGAACGGGGTGTACTGGTACAGCTTACTCGGAAATACTTATGACTTGACGTCGTACTTGTGGTGCTGTGGAACAGGTGCTGCTTATGGGGGCTGGTTTGCTCGGGTACTTGACGGTATTTTAAAGATATTTGCGGTGAACTTATTGAACATGTTTATCTATTAGGTAATAATAATAATAGTAAGTAATTATTATAAGCCCATATAGTAACGTGGTAGAGCCCTGCTGCAGCCTAAGATGTTCGTACCCGCTCTAAAATGGCAATACGAAAGTCAGGTAATTGCCCGACTCGCATTCAGTCGGGCACGCTCTCGCGTCGCGGCTGTACCTTCGCTACAGCGCGTAAATCTTCTAGTTATTCGTAGCAACAATGCCTTCATGTGTTTTTAAGTGGTGCACAAATTACACGGCAACTATTAGAGACAAGAAAAACGTCTTATTAATATTTTGATTATAGATGTTCATAATTGGTTTTATTATTTCAACACTTAACCGCTAGCGTAAACTTTCACGCTAGCTAATGTGTTCATTTTCCATATCGGTATGTCACGCGCTCGCACCAATGAGCGCTCGGCAGCAATCGATACTCAACTTATGATGTATATTCATCTTTTTCTAACGATAGGTATGCCCTATCATTTGTCTCTTTTTGTTAACGCAACGTGTCATAATAAATAACTGTACGTAGATATAGTACTACCTGCGCTACTTTAAAATACAATAATGTTAGTGTGTAACCTGTCTATCTTTTTAATACGTCTTTGGCTGCAGCTATATTAGTAGTATAGTTGTAGCACGAATGGGTCGGCTCGACCGGGGAAGGAACACGCTCATACAGAATATCAGCGTAAAATAGCAGCTTAACACTGCTATGTTGCGTACGGTGAGTGTAGAGAACCGGAGACCCTTTTTACTGGAAAAGAGGCATTCCATCTTAGTCTTTACGGGTGACAACGCATCTGCATTTTGATTCGCAAACAATGATGGATGTCCATGGGCCACAGTAACCACTTACCATCAGGTGGACTATGTGCTCGTTTGTCACCCTATCCTATAAAAAAAATTACTAGAATAAATTATTATGATATCTACCTATCCTTACCATTATCTAATTACAATATTCCTTGCGAGATCAGCATAATGTATTCGTGTCCATGCTGAGCACCTGAAAACTTATTTTATTCTTTGGAACATGTCGGCAATCAAACAGTGTCAAATTTTGTGCGTGAGGCACGGCGGCGGCGACGATTGTATGTGATATCAATAGAAGCCGTCGGCGCGTGTATCTTGACCTTGTGCTTCCGAATAGCTGCAAAATTTCTTTGACAGGTCAGTATCCGACCTTTGATGATGCCGACAACACGACGCCGCGCACTGTCAAAGTGCTGATGTTCAAAACTAGGGATGCACTCTTTTTATTTTAATGAACATTTTCATTCGCTATGTATGTTTATGGTATTGTTCGTAATGCGCATAAGTCCAATTTTCCAAATTTTTTAATATATTTTTTTGCGTCTCATAGAGTCGCTAACCGTATACCCGAACTCCTATACTTTCTGAAACGACACTCAGTCCTAACTGCAAGAAGCAAGAGTCTCGCAGGCTTAGTATTGTTCTTGCTCAAATCTTGCACGGTCAGTCTTGGTCTTGGTCTTGCTAAAATTAGGCGGCCTTGGTCTTGGTCTTGCAAAAATGCAAGAACAAAACCAAGACCTAATTTGGGCAACTACATTAAGACATGAATAACCATTTCTTTTTTAATTCTGTCTGTCTGTTTGGGCTAATCTTTGAAACAGCTGAACCGATTGTAAAGAAACTTCACAAACAATTAGAGAGCAATGTCACGAGTGATCTAGGCTTTTATTTTATTCGAAAAACTTAAAACAAAAAACAACAAAACAATAAAATTGATATAATAAATAACTTTTGATTATCTTAAATTTAAATAACGCCATATTAACAGATCCTACCCTGTAAAGCTGAGGCGGGTCGCTGGATTTGAAAAAACTTAGAATTGTACATATTAATCTCCTATAAAAATTAGAAAAACAAGGACATCTCCGGAATTCCTTTCGCCGTTTCTTCTCCGGTTAGAGAAGAACCTTATTTCGAAACGGTAGTAGATTTGGAGAACAAGTCGAAAGGTTAAATCAGTATATTAAAAAAAGCCGACTGTGTAAAAAAGTTTACGGAAAACAGAAAACTGGCAACCGTATTTTTTTTTCTTATTTAAGTTGATTCCAAGAAAATGCTTCTCATCTCCTGTTTAATTTCTAATGACACCCATGAAATTAAATGATGTAGTGGATTTATTTGCACCACAACTATGAGGCAACCAAACTCTTAGTTTTGTAAGCCTGAGGGCAGGGCATCCAGCGTGGCGGTACGTATACATTTGGAGGCCACTTATGACATAAATATATAAGAGACTGTTTGTCATGAACACCGAATCCCCGCTTCAGTTCACTGTATATTGCATATATTATGGTTGTAGCATGAATGGGTTGGCCTGACCGAGGAGGGACCACGCTCTTACAGAATCATCATCATTATCATTACAGCCTTTCATAAGTCCACTGCTGAACATAGGCCTTCCCCAAGGAATGCTACAAAACAAGGTCCTGAACCACCAGCATCCATCGATTTCCTGCATGTCTTACAGGTCGTCACTCCATCTCGTGGGGGGTCGCCCTACAATTCGCCTACCGGTACGAGGCTGCCACTCGAGAACCTTTCTTCCCCATCGGTTGTCGGTTCTTCGAGCTATATGGCCGGCTCACTGCCACTTCAGCTTACTAATCCGTTGGGCTATGTCGGTTACCCTGGTTCTACTGTGGATATCCTCATTTCTAAGTTAATCACGCAGAGAAACCACGAGCATAGCCCTCTTCATAGCTCGCTGAGCGACCTTGAGGTTCCTCATATGGCCAGCAGTGAAGGACCACGTCTCAGATCCGTAAGTCATCACTGGCAACACGCACTGGTTGTACAATTTAGTTTTAAGGTTTTGAGGTATGTCTAACGAGAAGATGTGTCGTAGTTTCCCGAACGCTGCCCAACCGAGTTGAATCCGTCGATCGACCTCTCGGTAGAAGTTGGACTTACCTAGTCGGACTATTTGTCCCAGGTAAACATACTCGTCAACAACTTCGAGCTTAGTGCTCCCAACAACTACCGGATGGACGTTAAACATGATTTTTGTTTTTTCCATGTTCATCTTAAGACGTATCCGTTGGAAGACACTATTGAGGTCATTGAGCATAGTGCTTAGGTCCTCCAGCGATTCTGCCATAAGGACTATATCATCGGCAAATCGAAGGTGAGTGATGTACTCGCCATTGATGTTGATACCGCATCCTTTCCAGTCCAGCAGCTTGAAAACGTCTTCCAATGCAGTGGTGAAGAGTTTCGGGAATATAACGTCACCCTGTCTTACACCTCTCTGCAGTTGTATAGGTTTCGTACTCTAATTCTGTACTCGGATAGCCATCGTGGCTCTACTGTACAAACACTTCAGCACTTCGATATACCGACAGTCAACTTGGCACCGCTGAAGGGACTGCAGCACCGCCCAAATTTCGCCGGAATCAAAGGCTTTCTCATAGTTCACATACGCAAGGCAAAGTGGCAGATTATACTCCTCTGTCTTCTGTACAATTTGCCGAAGGGTGTGTATGTGGTTTATGGTACTAAAGCCTTTTCGGAAACCGGCCTGTTCGGGAGGCTGGAAGTCGTCAAATCTGCGTGCGAGACGATTCGTAATGACTCTAGAAAACAGCACGTAGACGCGGCTCAGAAGGGAAATCGGTCCTTAGTTCTTCAAGAGAGCGTTGTCGCCTTTCTTGAAGAACAAGACCACCGCATTTCTGCTCCACGCCTCCGCAGTAGTGCCACCATGGAGGACGGAATTAAAGAGCTTCTGAAGGACTTCAAGTACCGGTTTTCCATTCGCTTTCAAAAGCTCCGCTGTCATTTCATCCTTGCCCGGGGACTTACAGAATACCAGCGTAAAATACCAAATTAATGCTGCTGTTTCTTATGGTAAGTGTAGAAAACCGGGAACTTTTACTAGAAACGAGGTATTCCATCTTAGTCCTTTGGGGTAATAATTCATTTGCATTTCGATTTTTCATTGAATACGAGGATAGTTATAAATATCTTTGGGCCACAGCATCCACTTACCATTAGGTGGACTATGTCCTCGTTTATCGCCCCTATGCGATAACAAAAGCCGCTTACCACCAGGTGGACTTTAAGTTAGTTTATCACTTTAATTGTTTACAAAGGAGGTCCGGAGTTATTAGTTACGGGGTGTGCACAGGCTGACGGGGTGTAAGTACGCGTGCATCGGGTGCCCGTGGCGCGGGCCGGCGCACGAGGCGGGCTCGCACGAGGCGCAGTGCGCGCACCCCGCCAAGTCCGCCGCGGACCTGATGGCGCTGCTGGCCGACCGCGAGCGACAAGCGCGCGACTCCACCGCCGTCTACGAGCAGATCATGGACCTGCTCTCCTACGAGAAGATCACCTTCAACGGTGAGCGCTCAGACGCTCGGTTTATCCAGTTTAATTTGCATGACAAATTTTGCGGGTAGTTTTAGATTACTTTTGTAGAAGTGTCGCAAATTGCATAAAATAATTTATACTTTATATTAATAATATTTTTTAGGTAGGTGGTAGGAGTCCTTTTCTGTTTAGGAGTCCATCTTGGTAGGTACCACCCTCTTTACTATGTAATGTCGGAAGGTGTTGAATGAAAAGGACACGTGCTGCTCAGTTCAAGACATTAACTATACTGCCTCTCTTATTCTACACCTAATACTAACATCATAATATACTATTTCTACCGCCAAATAGCACTGTACTGCTGTATTCCGGTCTGGAGAGTATATAGGGGGTATTCCATCTTAGTCCTTAGTTGGCGTGTTGTCAGATCTAACGACTAAATATTTATAGCCATTTTTGTTTGAAGTTGCAAATGGATAGACTGCAATTATCACTATCAGGCAGACTGTTTTGTTCGTCACTTCAGCTTTATTAAATAAAATATTCTGAGTCTGTGCAATAAGAGACAACATTTAGATTATAAAATAATTCTATAAGAAACCTTGTGGTACAAAAACAAAATAGATACGTAACGACCGCAAAAAAAAAGACTCAAAATTTCAAAAGTTTACGGACGTAGGATTTAACTTACTGCACAGGCTCCATCAGGCACAAAGTGCGCCTAACAAGACTAACACACGGTCACACCGTAGTCATCGTATCACGTGAACGCACACTTTCAACTAGTAAATAATAATAATAAAGTCTTTATTTATCTTCTCACATAACATAAAGTAAAACAATGTAAATCTAGTAGTACATAAACAGAATTTTATTATGTGAGAAGCTGGTGCCTGAAGTAGGCATATATAAGCCTGTAGTACAAGTCACCAGGTTCTCACCCCTCGAATGCTATGACATTGTATGAAATTATTCTAGGAACACAATAGATAGATAGATAAAAAAAGTTATTCTTATATTGTAATGAAATATAATTACAACGAAGATCCAGGATAAAATACTAATTAAGAGTGTATTAGGATATCAAATGTGTAAATACATATATGTATGTATGTATGTATGGTGTTATATATTTATATTAGTGTAGTGTATTGTATGTGCGCGCGCGCGCATGTGTGTGTTTGTGTGTGTGTATGTGTGTGTGTGTATGTGTGTGTGTGTGTGTGTGTGTGTATGTGTGTGTGTGTGTGTGTGTGTGTGTGTGTGTGTGTGTGTGTGTGTGTGTGTGTGTGTGTGTGTGTGTGTGTGTGTACATTATATTTATCTTGATATGAGCGATTCCGTTAAATCATAATCTAATTTCAGTAACCAGTCATGTACGTATTTTATGCAATCATATTTATTGTTAGAATATATAGATAATTTTTCATTTATTTTATTGTATAAGAATCCACCCAAGTAGCAAAAGAATTTTTTTGTATGTCTTCTTTGTTGCAAATGTTGCGCAAACTGTATTTTTACGTCTAACTCCTACAAATTTATGGGGATCATAGGTATTTTCACTGTGTTGCTTCAACAATGTATAGAGAATAAACTGCTGACGTACCGTTAATACCTGCCAGTATCGATAAAGAAGTTCAGTTGGATGTCTATAAGAGAAGAACCCGCAAACTTTTAAAATGGCCCTTTGTGATATTTCTACGCGCTTCATAACTGTTTTAGGAGCACCGCCCCAGGAGGTGATGCAATAAGTAAGAAGGCTTTGCGCTAGTGCATAGTAGATACGTGTTAAAGCTGATTTATCTAGCACATGGCGTACATTTTTGAATATGTATATTAATTTAGATAGTCTATTGGATAATACTTCGATATGATTTTTAAAAGAAAAATAGTCTACTGTTTGACATTATCATTTCTCAATTCAGGGGCGACTTATTGTGTTATTGTCTTGTAAAATTTCACTATAATTTTTACCAAGCAGTTTTTATTATATCATTTGCCGTTGCAGATTTACAGCTCAGGCCGTACCGCACTGAAGAGTTTGTGCACAAGCTCTACTACGAGACGTCTCGCTTCTCCGCGTTCGGCCACCAGTGGGTGGTTAAGGCGTACGTGAATAAGAATCAGCGTGACCCCACGCAGAGCGCCCAGCGAGAGATCACTTACCAAGTACTTCGATATTTTATATTTTGTTCGTGCGTGCGAGCGTGCGTGCGTGTGTGCGTGCGTGCGTGTGTGTGAGTGTGTGTGTGTGTGTGTGTGTGTGTGTGTGTGTGTGCGCGCGTGTGTGTGTGTGAGTGTAGACGAACAACGAAAATGTATGAAACAAGTGTGAATAATATCCGGCTCGAAGGATCAATTCTCAAAGAAAAAATCAAGGAAGGATGTTGTTAAATGATTGTTAAAAGAAAGTCTGAGTTGTATAGTTCCATCTTGCCAGCTTTGCTATTCATTATACTCCACGTCATTTTAATTTTATTACATGTTGCCCTCTCTTCTTTAATATGTCATGTATTTACATAATATCATGCTTCCTTTTTTCTTCTTGTGTCACTTTCTATTTTGTTTCTCACACACACTTTTTGTTTGTCAGCTGGCTATGGAAATCAGAATACTATAATATGTTTGAAAAATCTGATGTATGTAGATTAAATTTTTTGTAATAAGTAAAATGCATAAAAGCTGTTGTTGTTCCGAATAAAATATAATAAAAAATATATAATAGGTGAACTTATGAAATAGCCATTCTGCAGTGCTGGCCATTTCAAATTAATTTTATTTTAAAAACACGGAAATCTTTTTTCAAAATTAGTCATTTGTTTATTGATTTCGCATTTGAATCTTTTTCGTCATTATGGATACGTTAAATATTCGAGTAATTATGGAATATGAGTACATTAACCACGCATACGGAGCCAATACTACAAACGAACGCATCAGCTGTAATTGGTTTCCCCGCTTCTGTTCTGGAAATTTCGACCTGAAAAATGAACTCCGTGGTCGTCCGAAAACTTTGGTCGACAATGACGAATTAAACGTGATTGTGGAAGCTAATGATACTCAATCTACGGCTGAATTAGCAGCGAGTAAAAAAGTTTGACAAATGGGTGCCCCCCGATCTCAATGATCGCCAGCGCGAAGTACGCGTCGAGACGTGCCTTGCACTGCTGCTCAACAGGCACGCAAACGTAATAATTTTGAACCGCGTTGTTAACGGGGACGAAAAATAGATACTGTTTGACAATCACAAGCACTCAGCAAGTTGATTGGATCCTGGTTCAGCACCTAAACAATGCCGTAAACGAAAACTTACCCCTAGAAAAGTGATGGTCACTGTTTGGTGGTCCAGCGCCGGTGTGATTCATCACAGCTTCTTACCAAACGGGATGGGGATTAGGTACTGTAGATGTGTACTGTGAAGAAAGCACAATGATGGAGAAGCTCGCACGTCGCCAACCAACTTTGGTTAATGGCTCGTCCCCGCTGCTCCTGCATTACAACACATGGCCTCAAACTGCACAACAGACAGTCTCCAACTTACAAGGACTGGGGTTGAAAGCTCTCCGTCGTCCGCCGTACTCACCAGAACTTGCGCCTACAGGCTTCTACTTTTTCCAGAATTTGGATAACTTTGTGGCGGGAAAAAATTCAATACCCGAGAGGCAGTACAAAATGACTTTCAAGAATTTGTTGCCTGCCGTCCAGTTGATTTCTTCAAGAAGGGCATCTATTGGCAAATATGCATCGATTGCATGGGGGTGATTACTTTGATCGATAGAAATACAAAATATAGAAAAAAATTACGTTTACTTATTTCATAAAAATCGGCAATTTCATAAGTAAAGACTTAATATATAAAAAATACGAGAGAAGACTCTCTAATCAGCTTATCACGGGGCAGTAGCGCCTACACCTTAACATATTTGTAGCCGGTGGAAGGAAAAGGGGAGATCTCCCGGCGGGCAAGGTGTTCTGCCCGGGGAGCGGACAACGCTTCAACTGGAAGCTCAAAGCTATTCTATATATGCTGCTTTAATTTCGGAACTGTTAGTGCGATTTAGGATTCGATGTGTTTCGCTTGTGGCGCGACGACAGCGCCGCCACATATTTATAAGGACGTAGTTTGTTCCTTTTCACACTCGGTGTATTGTTTTATGCCTCACTCTAAACACACGCCCAGCTTGTCTAAGGCTGCAGCTTGGATTCCGATCGAAATGGTCTAAGACTCATTGTTCGAACGAGGGTGGAAAGTGACGCGGAGCAACTCCTTCATGAGTGTTGGGCACTATGCGCTGATTTTCTCTGATTCTTTGAACAGCACCTATGATTGCCCGGACGCTAGTAGGGCAGACGCGAGTTGCGCCGTATCTCTCAAGATAAGTACGCAGAGTTAACACTGAATTTTGGCGGCATTCGCTATACAATAAAACCATGTCTGTATACTCTGCCGCATTGTCAAAAATTGTTTACACCTGGTGCATCAAAATATACAAGGCATGATAGGCAAAGAGCTAGAAATTGAATTGTCCTTAAATAGCAACAATATTCATATTTTATGTATTACTGAACATTGGTTAAAAGCTTATAACTTAATGTTTAACTTCAGTAATCACCAGGTGGTCAGTTCTTTCAATAGAGAAACTGTTTTAAGAGGTGGTTCCTTAATATTAGCTGGTAAATTATTGTCATGTAAAGAACGTAAAGATATTGTGAGCCTCTCTGTTGAGCGAACTGTAGAAATGGCATGTGTTGAGTTTGAGCATTAGAGCATTGTTGTGAGCGTCTACAGACCCCCATGTTCTATATACGATACTTTTGAAAAAATTATGGAGGAAGTTTTTGCTAAGCTCAATAAACACAATAAATCTGTTGTAATATGTGGAGACTTTAATATCAATCTCCTAGAAGCTTCCTCAATCAATATTAAGTTTAGATCATTGTTTAAATCATATGGTCTTTTTAATTTATTTTTAGAGCCAACGCGGCGTATTGCTCAATCTAGTGCAACATGTATAGATAACATTTTTACAAATGTGAAGCCGTTGCATAAATGTATAATTAAAAAATTAAGTTCTGATCACTGTGGACAGGTAGTTTCGTTACCTTATGTTCACAAAAAGCAAGTAGATTTTTTTTATAGGATGAGGGTGACAAACGAGCACACAGTCCACCTGATGGTAAGTGGTTGCTGCGGCCCATAGACATCTACATCTATCCTCTGTTACAAATCAAAATGTAGATGCGTTGTCACCCGTGAGGACTAAGATGGAATTCCTCATTTCCAGTACAAAGGGCCTCCGGCCACCTGCACTCACCAAGCGAAACGCAGAGGTAAACCTCTACTTCACGCTGGTTTTCTGTGAGGTCGTGGTACTACCCCGGTTCGAGCCGGCCCATCCGTGCGACAGAAAAAGCTGCCGCGTGGCTCTACCACTGTTTAAAATGAGATGAGATAAAGATGAGAAAGTTGTGTTTGTTCCAGTAAATGCACGTCGCTTGGAGAAATTTAGAAGTAACATAGTGAAAAAACTTCCATCACTTTCATACCAAAATGATCCAAATTTTTTGTATGGAACATTATTTAAGCTTATTTGCAATGAATTTAATAATACTTTTACTTCTAAAATATTCTCCTTGAACAGTCGGAAGTCATTTAATGAATGGGCGACAGTAGGAGTCCATAGGAGCAGACATAGGTTATATGATCTTTACCATGAAAGGTCATATAATCATAGCGTCGAATTTAGGGAATATGTGAAAAAATATTCAAAAATATTTAAAAAAGTGTGCTCCACAGCCAAGTCTTTGCATTTGAGCAACAAAATTAAGACGGCTTCTAATAAAATTAAAATGACATGGAGTATAATTAACAGCGAAACTGGTAAGATCCACTCTCGCAATTCAAACTACCAGTTAAGTGTTAGTAACAAATTAACCGAATCAGATCAGGACGTTGCAATGGTTTTCGAGAAATATCTTACTGATATTCCGATATTAACCACTAAGTCACTGAATTCTTCTCCTGCGGTCGCCGAATCATTACTTAAACAAAATGTAAATGCGTGTACAAAGAATTTTGCATTTCATAAAGTATCATCAAAAGATATTGTAAAATATTTTAAAACTGCGGATCTGTGGGAGATTTCCGTTAAAGTTATTGCGTCTATAATAGATACAATCGCGCCTCATTTAGCTATTATTTTTAATACTAGTATCGAATCTGGTGTGTTTCCTGATTTAATCAAGTATGGTAAAGTAATACCTTTAATTTTATCTAATATATATTTTATATTAATATTTAATTAAATCTGGTAGTACATTAGACCCCGCCAATTTTAGACCTATTTCTGTACTACCAACACTTAGTAAGATTTTTGAAAAAATTATTCTAGATCAAATGTTAAATTTCTTTAATATAAATAATTTACTTCATAAAAATCAATTTGGTTTCACAAGGGGTCGCTCGACAACTGATGCCGGTGTTGAGCTGATTAAATATATCTTTAATGCATGGGAGAATTCACAGGATACTTTGGGTATATTTTGTGACCTATCCAAAGCCTTCGATTGTGTTCACCATGAAACATTAATCAGGAAACTTCAACACTACGGTGTAAGAAGTGATGCTTTTAAATTAATTATTTCATATTTAAGTAAGAGAACGCAAAAAGTTGTCATTAACGGTATGAGTTCTTCCGGGTCGATGGTACAAATGGGCGTGCCTCAAGGCTCAATTCTCGGCCTCTTTCTGTTTCTTGTATACATTAATGACTTACCTTACATAGTAGGAGATAACCATGATATAGTATTATTTGCAGATGACACTTCTTTAATTTTCAAATTAAGTCGACAATTGCTAAAATATGACGAAGTAAATAATGCTATATCTAAATTAGTAAATTGGTTCAATGTTAATAATTTGCAAAAATTAAATGGCACTAAAACGAAATGTATGAAATTTGACTCCAAATGTCAAACAATTAAATACTAATGTAATTTTAAATGGGGAGAAACTGAGTCTTGTAGATACCACCATTTTTCTTGGAATCACACTAGACGCGAAGCTTCAATGGAGCCCCCATATATCAAAACTAGCAAGCAGACTTAGTTCTGCAGCATATGCTGTAAAAAAGATTAGAAGTCTAACCAGTGTTGAAACAGCTAGACTAGTTTACTTTAGCTATTTCCATAGTATAATTTCGTATGGTATTTTGCTATGGGGACAAGCAGCTGACACTGAAATTATATTTGTTTTACAGAAGAGGGCCATAAGAGCAATTTATGATTTAAAGCCTAAAGAGTCGCTGCGACAAAAATTTAATGATTTAAAGCCTAAAGAGTCGCTGCGACAAAAATTTTATGATTTAAAGCCTAAAGAGTCGCTGCGACAAAAATTTATGATTTAAAGCCTAAAGAGTCGCTGCGACAAAAATTTTATGATTTAAAGCTTAAAGAGTCGCTGCGACAAAAATTTAAGGAAATTAATATATTAACTTTGGCCTCTCAATACATTTATGAAAATGTAATGTACGTACACAAAAATAAAAGTAGTTTTACAAAAATAAGTGATATTCATTCTGTAAATACTAGGAACAGACACATGCTAGTAGTACCAGTTACTCGACTCCATCGAGTCAGTAATTCATTCTTGGAGCGGTGTATACGCTTTTACAACAAAATTACAGAAAATATACAAAATTTGACCTGCTCAAAGTTCAAAAACTTTTAAACTAAGTTTGTATAAAAAGGGTTATTA